CTCCTCCCTTTGGCTAATATGAGTTTATTTGTGTGTACACTAAAAAATTAACACATGAACATGATGTTGTAATGACAAAAATGTCGGTAGTCGATCATGAAATTTTTTTTTTTGAGAAAAATAAATTAATAGTAAATTGTCTTGTCGCTTTAATCTTGTCAAACAATTCAATCGAAGCCAAAAACTCATTGCACCTTTCATAACGTGGGGAGTGGGGACTAAAATGATCCCAATTTATGACGGACCAATCCAAACCAACCTTTTTTGGAAACTCACTTCAAACAAACAACTACCACCTTTGTATCACACACACTGGATGAGTTTTTGTATTAAAAGTTTTTAAATTAGTCATTAAATATTAATATCGTATTAATACAATTTTCATATCAATTTAATTTTTAGTTTGGACGTTAAAATGACAATTCAATTATAATATGATTGTATTTAAAAATATAATGTGGTTGTATTTAAAATACATAGATTAAATTATAAACGTATGTATAACTACTGTATGGATTATTGAATCTTACATGTTACATAAGTATTCTTCTAATTTTTGTTCACAATGTTACTTTTAACATAAAGTATTTTATATATGTTTCACATTAATATGCATGTACACTAAAAATTAACAACTAGGTTGATTATAAAAGGATTTAACTGACACACTATTAATACTTGTAAAACTTAAATTTTAAAATCTAAACAATAATTTAAAGGTGTTTAATACAAATTATCCATCTAAATATATACCTATTGAAAGTTCATGAAATTTAGGTGTACGTGGAAGAGAAGTGTAATCAAGATTGCACAATACGACACAAGTCAATTCGCATTAATGGTTGTTTATGTTTGTATTAATAATTCTGGGAACATATTGATATTATTTTTAATACGGGTAAAAAATTTAATTTGATTAAAACATTTTTTATTCTACATTATTTGAGTTGGTTTATATTTTAAATCCCGACTTAAACTTGAATTGAGTTTAAATTTTATAATATTTTTATTAGTAAAACCGCCTAATGAATTTTATCTAAATCTAATTATTAATTTGTGGTGTTTAGTAATTTAAATAGTGGTCTATTATTAGAATAACGATTGTTGTATAATAATAAAAATATCATCTGAAATTATTATTTTACAATTGTGATATTTACAATAATCATAGTAATCATAATAACATTTGTTATTATTATAATTACGATAAATATACCATAGCCGAAAACATAAACGTAATCACAGTTTATTATCCAGGGTGATAATGGAGAAGGTAAAGGCTCTCTCTCTGCCGACGCTGTCCGTTTATGTAGTTAAGGTTTATGCGCGGCTCATATGAAACGTGTTCCATTCCGTGCCACGTGTGTCCCGACCTGTTCATGTGGTCCCCAGGTGATAAAAACAGAAACGTTTTGGACAGTCGGGAACACGTGTCTTGGTATTTTTGGAACTGTCCCTCCGTTCCCTTGGATGCTGCAATCTTGCTCTTGCTCTTCCTCATCCTCAAATTGTTTCTGCTCCACCCACTTCTCCTGACGCGCTTTGATTTGTGTAAGGGCCCCACTCGCTCTGTTATGGGGTTTCACATTAGCGGTACCAATTTGTCTCTACCTGTTTTTGCTAACCAGTACTCAACTGTAGTTACGGTGAACTCCATCGCACTCATGCTTGGCTTAATCCAACTTCCAATTTACTATTTATCATGTCTGTGCCCAAATTTATAATGATTTCTTTCACATATTTAAGGACCAAATCGTGAGTTTGTTTTTTATTATAATCAGTTAGATATATGACATTAGTATTATTACACTAAATTTATGAAATATTATTCATGAAATATGTTTATAATTAACGTACACTCTTAAATTTCAACTAGTCAACCTTAAATGTATATTAGTTATTTTTTATATACAAAGGCACTTTGATAATTTATATATGTAAAAGCTTATTATTCATCTTCACTTATTGGAATATTTTACTCAATTTTACATTTAAGGACGGTTCAATCATTTTAGCGCATAAGGATGTTTCGATCATTTTAACACGTAAAAAGTTTTTTATTGTTTAATGATTTATGACTGAGAGACCTAATTTATAAGCACTAAAGTCTTGTAATATTTCTATCAAATTTATGATCTTACACTAAGATCGATGACAATTTGATAAGTTACTCATTTACAACCCGATCATCATAACACACACATATATATGACAACCAAGACATTACATTTATGAGAGTCAAAATATTTCAAAATTTGAAGTTTACCAATCTTTCGCTCTTGAATTTGATCTTACTAGCATTTGATTCGAGATATTAGTCTTTTCCACTAAGACATAAAATCTGGTTCATGAACATAATTCCCGAATTAATTCCCCTTGTTGCTAAAATAAATTCATCAATTACCAAATAATAATTTAAGGGTCTTGATTGATAAAATTGAAAGCTAACAAGGTCGAAGTAGTATCTAATTTATGAAATTATGGACTAAAATAGATACTAATCAAACTAGAGAGAACTGAAAGAATAATTATCTATTTTTCCCCAAAAAAAGGTGTGAATCCTAAACTAGACAGACCGGGTATTTGATTTGATGCCAAAACAACATCATTTTGAAACTTATTTGTTGTCCCCAAAATCATTAACTTTAGAGGCAATATGTAAATCACTTTTCTTTTGTTTCCTTCTCATTTTATCCTTTCTTATTTTTTTCTTTCTTTAATTTCTTCATAAGTTGATCCTCGTATGTCATATTAATCACTATTAACTATCATTAACCACTGTATCGATCACTACCAATTACAACCGTCTCATATCAAGAATGCAGGTAAGATCTTTTTGGTATTTCGATCACAGATTTAAGGTTTGTTTTCCCAAAAAAAAATCAATTTTATACATATACCTTAAAATGAATATAACAAAAAACGTTTTATTGATGATAAGGGATATTTTATATAACATATAAATTGTATAATTTTAGTTCATTGAAATTAAAAATTGTTGAATAAAGAGTTTTAACACATTTTTATTTGAAGGTATGGTAATTAAATTGCTAAAGTAAGGGAATATTAGAAAATATAGTTAAGATAAAAAGTGCGTAACCATTTGGATGTGACATATCAAAATACAAGTGATAAATTATTGTCGTTGAAAGTGGTGGATAGCTAATTTTTAATTTTTGTATGTGGTTGGATGTTGTATTTTCACTTGAAAATTAGTTCAGCCATTGAAATTCATGCACTTTATATTCTTAAAAACACAAATATGCAGGGATTAGTATATGGACTTACTATTTATTAAATATAAACCCTTAATATTTTGCCAATTAATACCATTTTCTAAGGTTTTACGTTACTAAATTGAGTTGCTTTGCTTATGAATCCAGCTACTGGAAATGAAGAAGTCACCTGAAAACTAAGAGGAAAAAATGCCCTCTTCTTAGATACTGACTCATGCTTCGTGTGGAACACGCGCCATAAATTCCACCCTTCGTCGCCTGCATTTTGTTGTGCGGTCGAATCACCATGACATGGCATTTTCCCCCCTTTACACAAATTTATTACTACAGCTACTACGTAACAGAAGGAAAAGCAAGTCGTGGGAAGTAATAGGTAAAACTATGATTCTGGTCTCTTTATTACGCTCAATATTATCATTTAGTTCTTAGAGTTTAATTTAACATAAATTTTTCCTATAATATTTCATGTAATTAACTATCCCGAAATTCTGATATGGAATTTTATGTCGGAAAGAGTATTGGTAAGAAAAAAAAGATTTTGGAGTAGTGAATGAAGAATATTACAATAATGTATTAGATTTCTAATTTGGACATAGTGGAGGGATGGAAATGAAGTTTGAGCAAAAGAATAGGTTGAGGTTATAAAACGTCAGAAATTCCAATTTGGAAGTAATGAAAGATGGGATGGATGAGGTCAGAATTGAGAAGTGGGAGAAAGCAGGTGCTGTTTATGGACCGAAACGATCGTTCTTTTGGACAATTTTGGAGGTTTGTAACCTAGGAAATGTAGGTTTCACTGTCAATCTCGTCACTTGTCCCGTGTTTAAGATTGAAAATTAATAATATTAATTTCTTAAAAAAATTAATTATAATCAAATAATTATGATTAATATTTTATTTGAAGATTCAATTTATTAGTAAACCGCATGTTTTTTCATTAAACAGATCAAGTACAAGGGGTAAGGTAAAAGAGAAATATATTAAAAAAGAACCCAAATTTGCATGTCACTGTTTACTTAAATTTCTTTTTCATCCTTTCAGTTAAATCTATGACGTCAATAATAAACAGCCACGTCCCGTCGTATTTCCCAATTATTGCATAAAGTATTTACGGCGATACACTTTTCTTAATATTTACTTTTCTATTTGAATTTAGTATTTGACAAGAACACAATAACCTAATCATTACCCATCTCATTTAATTTTATATTAAATTTATTTCAGTTAACATGTACACGTGGATTATAATCGTAACTTTTCTCTAAGTACTAGTAATTTGTATATTTTCTTATACGAGTAAAATTTAGCCAAAGTATCTCATGCACCTACAGCTGTTGTTACTTCTACCACAAGAGTATGTATCGGCCTATTTTTCCTCTTAAATTTAATATTTTTAATTTAAATTTAAAATTTTATCAGTATTATTTAAGTTCGTGTCACATAATATATTATTAAAATATCATATTAACAAGATAACTTTAAATAGTAAAAAATCTTAATTGGGGACTAATGTGAAAAAAATTCAAAGATTAAATTAAGAAATATTATTAATTCTAAAGAGAAGTTCTTTTTCCATAAAACAGACGAAAAAAATATAAAATTAGGATATTTTAAATAAGGTATATAATTTATAAAATTAGTGACTCCAAAAGGAAATTATGATATTTTTACGGTCTTAAAAAATATACATGACTTGGGGCGTTAGTGTAGTATATTAAAAGGTGATTGGTTTGGGAACCTTTTGCAAATGAGTTGCCTTTTTAAAGTGACATCCAACTCCCAGAAGCATATTTTACAGCTTACCCATTTTTCCACCACTTCCCTCCGCCTCCTCCTCCGCCATCACCACCACTTGTTTTTCTTTTCCCAAAACCTCTACTTTAAGTCATTAACAATATCAAAGGGAAAAAGGAAGAAGAAAAAACGCCACAAATTTGGATCTTGATCTTTGAATCCCACACAATTTTCCAGTTCCAATCAAAGCTGCATTTTCTGGAGGTTAGTCAAGCTTATGCAATAACGTGTTTTTCTTCAGTTGTTTGGTTTATTTTTTAAATGTCAATGCTGGTAGTGAAAGTACAGTGGAAGCGAGTGAAGATGGAAATAGATTCTGTCTTCGCTCTCATTTCTGCACTCTGCTTCTTCTTTTTTCAGAGTAAAAATGTTTTCTTTCTATCAAGTTTTTTAAAGATGATTTGTCTTACCTGTTTTGTCGGTGAGGTTTCCTGTTTCCAGATTTCTCCACGTTCAAGCCTTTAATCATTCTCTATCCCATTCGCTTAAGTAAATTCCTTTTCGTTCATTCATTTTTTACTTGCTTTTTCCTTTTCAATCTAAATCTGTCTCTGGTTTAATTGTAATGAAATGAGCTTTTGATTCTAAGATCTTTAGCTCCTTGATTAGATGTTTTTCATTTGAAGGGTAGCCATTGATGAAATTGGTTGGCTTGAAAACGCGATCTCATCTGTGTCAATTGCAACACTTTAAAACACTGACGATCTTACTCTCATTTCAATATAAAACATTTTTACAAGCCGCTGTATTCTGTTTGGTGGTCGAGAAAATAAGATTTCGATTTCTGAGAGCTGACGTGGTCAATGTGAATTCTTGTTCACAAAGAAAAAAGAAATGTTGAACCGAGAAGAAAAAGATTACACTTGTTTGTTTGTTATAATTCTGGGTGACAATAAAATAAGAGGCAATGAATAGTTTGGTGTTATGCAATATAAATATTGCTAACCTATTTTCATGATTAATATCATCTCTCTACAGAGCAGCTTCCCATTCTTAATTAATTTTGTTTATTTTCCCCTTAATCATGAATTTCTAAGACTTAAATCAAGTTTTTTTTTTTACATGTCATATAGTCTTCTTGACCTTGGAAATAAAGGGGATTTAAGTGATGGACCGCCATTGGCCTTGGAAGAAAAAATCATCTGATAAAGCTCATAAAGCTGCAGCCGCCGCCACCACTGTTGCGGTGGATCCTTCTGCCTCCCCTTTGGCTTCAGCTGCACCTCAAGGCGATGAGGTACACTGTTTGTTCTGGATTATCATTTCATAGTACATTGTGTTGAGCTATTTTATTTGATACCTTTTGGTGGATGTTTTTTTGTTGAACAGGATACACACAAAAAACCAAAATACGTTCAAATTTCTGTTGAATCGTATTCGCAACTCACTGGTTTGGAGAATCAAGTGAAAACATATGAGGAACAAGTTCAGTCGTTGGAGGAGGAGATTAAGGACTTGAACGAAAAGCTCGATGCAGCAAATTCAGAGATTTCTGCCAAGGAAGACCTGGTGAAGCAGCACACTAAAGTTGCCGAAGAAGCTGTCTCAGGTTAGTCTATGCTCGTACATTCCAAGTCTAATGTAAAACGAAAAGGTTATCCATTTAATTTTTGCTGTCGGTTTTGGTGTAGGTTGGGAGAAGGCTGAAGCAGAGGCCTTGGCATTGAAAAATCACCTGGAATCCGTTACGCTTTTGAAGCTCACCGCCGAAGACAGGGCGTCACACTTGGACGGTGCTCTTAAAGAGTGCATGCGGCAAATCCGAAATCTTAAGGAAGAACACGAGCAGAAGTTGCAAGATGTGGTAATTAGCAAAAACAAGCAATGTGAAAAGATTAAGCTTGAGCTTGAAGCTAAGATGGCCAATTTAGACCAAGAGCTCCTGAAGTTCGAAGCTGAAAACGCTGTAATTTCGAGGTCTTTGCAAGAACGTTCTAACATGCTGATCAAGATTAGTGACGAAAAATCACAAGCTGAGGCTCAGATTGAGCGTCTGAAGGGTAACATTGATTCATGCGAAAGGGAAATTAATTCACTGAAGTATGAACTCCATGTTATTTCCAAAGAGCTTGAAATTCGCAACGAAGAAAAGAACATGAGCATGAGGTCTGCAGAAGCAGCAAACAAGCTGAATATGGAGGGTGTCAAAAAGATAGCAAAGCTGGAAGCTGAATGCCAAAGACTGCGTGGTCTTGTGCGGAAAAAGTTGCCAGGTCCTGCTGCACTCGCCCAAATGAAGCTAGAGGTCGAGAGTTTAGGGCGAGATTATGGAGATACACGACTAAAGAGATCTCCCGTCCGGCCTTCCACTCCGCACATGTCCTCTGTCAGCGACTTTTCCCTAGACAATGCACATCGATTTCATAAAGAGAACGAGTTTCTGACGGAACGTTTATTGGCAATGGAGGAAGAAACAAAGATGTTGAAAGAAGCTTTGGCAAAGCGTAACAGTGAACTGCTAGCTTCTAGGAGTCTCTGTGCTAAGACATCCAGCAAGCTTCAGAGTTTAGAAGCACAACTTTCTGTCAGCAGCCAACAAAGAAGTCCCTCGAAAGCGATTGTTCAGATTCCTGCAGAAGTTTACTCGAGTCAAAATGCTAGCACTCCGCCAAGTGTTACTTCTGTATCTGAAGATGGAAATGACGACGACAGAAGCTGTGCCGAATCATGGGCAACAGCTTTAGTCTCTGAGCTCTCTCAGTTCAAGAAGGCAAAGAGTGCCGATCATTCTTATAAAACTGATAATTCAAAGCACTTGGATCTTATGGATGACTTTCTTGAGATGGAGCAGTTGGCTTGTTCCACAAATGACTCAACTACAAAGGGTGCAATTAGCGTTTCTGGTTGCACCGACAATAAGCTATCTGAAACCTTCAACGGTGATTCTTCTGAAAAGCTGCATGATCTATCTCCTCCAGCAAACGATGTATCTTCTAAAATTGATTCGTCAGAATTGTATCCTGAATCTGATGTAGACATATTGCCGGTTATGAAGCTTCGAACAAGGCTTTCTATGGTGCTTGAATCAATATCCAAGGATGCTGATGTGGAGAAAATTCTAGAGGACATCAAATGTGCTGTGCAAGATATAAATGGCAGCCAGATCCAGCACTCCGCAAATGGTGTCTCAGAAGAATTGCACGGTTCTGATGGAACATCCATGGGCAAGTTTATCCTGAAGATGCTAGCTTGACTGCAGAGAAGGAAATTGCTATGTCCCAAGGTGATAAGTTGAATTCAGAAAGTGTGCAAACTTTAAGTCAAGAATTACCTTCTGCAATATCACAGATTCATGACTTTGTGCTGTTCCTGGGAGATGAAGCAAGGGCAGTTGATGATCTATCTTTTGATGGCAATGGGTTAAGCCATAAAATCGCCGAGTTCTCTGTCACCTATAATAAGGCCTTATGCAGCAATATAAGTTTGGAAGATTTCATTTTCGATCTCTCTTCTGTTTTAGCGAAGGCCAGTGAAGTAAGGTTCAATGTCCTTGGCTACAAGGGTAATGAAGTGGAAATAAATAGTCCTGATTGCATAGATAAGATTGCTTTACCAGAGAATAAGGTTACTCAAAATGGCTCATTGGGTGGAATATATCAAAACGGCTGTGCCCATATTTCGAGTCCAACCTCCAATCCTGAGGTTCCCGATGACGGAAACCTGGTCTCAGACTTTGAATCGAAACAATCGTGCAAATTCTCATCAGAAGAGTTTGAGGAACTGAAGTTGGAGAAAGAAAGATTGGCAATGGATCTTTCGCAATGTACTGAAAACCTGGAGATGACCAAGTCTAAATTACATGAAACCGAACTGCTTCTAACAGAAGCTAAATCTCAATTGGTATCTGCTCAGAAGTCGAACAGCTTGGCTGAGACACAGCTCAAGTGCATGGCGGAGTCTTATAGATCACTTGAAACGCGTGCAGTAGAGTTAGAGACTGAGGTGAACCTTCTCCGGGCGAAAATAGAAACTCATGAAAATGAACTTCAAGATGAAAAGAAAAGTCATTATGATGCTTTGGCCAGATGTAAGGAACTCGAAGAGCATTTGCAAAGGTAAGCATCAAACTCTTTTCAGACTATGCAGAACTGCTATCAACTAATTGGTGTGCGATTATATAAGCTAATGTATTTGCATTTAATTAATTCTAACATAATTGCACTCCATGATTTTTAGGAATGGGAACTGTTCCGTCTGTTCTTCAGCAGTTGAAGCTAACATCAAGAGCAAGCAGGTAAGGTTATATTTTATTTTACATACAAGTTAGTGTTGAATATGGTAATGGAAAGTTGTCTGTTGGCATTCTTATCGGCAAGGTTTCTTATTTGCAACCATGATATAATTCATTTTCTGTAGAATCATTCTTAAATCCACATTGCTTATCCCGATTATTGTTCACAGTCCAACTTCAGACTATTTCTGTTGATCACAGGAGAAAGAGTTAGCAGTTGCAACGGAGAAACTAGCCGAGTGTCAGGAAACCATATTCCTTCTTGGCAAGCAATTGAAAGCTCTCCGCCCTCTGACAGAAATGAAGTGCTCGCCAAACAATGAGACAATCCCAAAGGTCGAAGGTTTCCGCGAGGACCAAACCACTACCAGCAACGGGAACTTGCATGATTTAAATCGGGCAGAGGTAGACACTGTTGGTTCCTGCAATGCATGCAGATCGGGTGCAGAGTCGCCTATGGATTCGTCATTTAACACGCCATGCAGCCCTTCTGATACTGAAGCAAACCCTTTGAGATCACCCATCAACTCATACAATTCAAATCACAAGTCTACCATATCGAGTTCTTCATCTTGCTCTTCCACGCCTACACCAGAGAAACAATCACGAGGCTTTAGCAGATTCTTCTCCTCCAAAGGGAAGAACGGTCATTAAACCTGCAAGCCGATGGGCGTGATCAATGTGGTGCCACTGGACATACTAATAAGTGGAAGATTTGAAGTTTACAAATCCATAGTCCTTATTTGATGCTAAAGGCTGGTATTTTGTTGGTTACACTCCTATTGTGAAGTGATTTTGTAAGTAATGACTGTATATGGTTTTCATTTCCCTCCCTTCAATTGAATCCCTTTGTTATTTCGGAGGTAAATGTGACATATTTAGCTCTAAAGCTGGTGAATATATTTTGAATATTATTGTATGCAGCAGTTTCATTTCAAGCATTCGAAAAGCAGAGAAGAGTTGGACTTTTAGTTCTGAACTGTATGGTCTTGTTAGTGACATTGTCTAGTTAATTGCAAATTGCAGTACCCCTGTCCTCTTGGGCTCCAACTACAGAAAAGGGCTTCTTTTTATCTTTTGTTTTCAGCTCCCATGGGCTCCAACTGAATCTTCGCCGTCGGATTTTTTTTGGGGATAATTATTGAAGTATTCAGTATCGGATACATAAAAAAAATAAAGATGCTGGATATATATATATAATATTATGTAGTAAGGATGTGATTTAAACGGTCAAAGGCTGCTTTGCCTTTGATCTGTTCTATAATTGAGGTGGAAAAAACAGTGACAGTTAATTCCACATCTTACTATGAGTCAGTTGATGAAGGTGGTAGAAAAATAATTAAAGCAAAATTAATTTAAAATAGAGTAGATTTTTTATTTTCAATCAAATTACATATTTTTACTTTCCCTAATTAATTTGAGTCAGATTGAATTCATGTCAAACTCTAATAATTTACACAATAAATAGAACTAAAATTCTACGTGAAAAGTCCTTCCGAGAAAAATCACAAGCAAAAGAGAAGAATTTTCAATATTGTCAAAAACAGAAGAATACGAAAGGAATTCTCATAAACAACATCACCTATTTATAGGGATAATTATTTGATTAAAAAAAACTTGCATAGCAAGAAATCTACTCAAGCTATGTTTCATATTCTCAATCAACATAAAATAAAATAGACTTTCTACTTTCAACAAAAAAAAAAATTAGCTGACCCTATTCCCATATGTAATGGGTAAGGGGAGGTAGGATAGTAGGCTGCCCCCAACGCCAGGTTGAGAGCAGCTTCCGTGGGAGACCTACTTTCAATCAAACTAGGTTTATTACTTTTCTCAATCAATTTGAACCAGATCTAGTTTAGGTTAAACTCTAAGAATTTCCCGCTTGACACGAATTCTAAAAGCGCAAGGAGTACGAGATAAAATCCAAATTCGATGAAACATTCTTTACATCGACGAACAAGTTCTCCACATAGAGAACATGTTTCCACTTCTTCCACAAACATAGTGGCGGAGCTACAGCTTGGTGAGGGTGGGCACGTTTCCACCCTAAAATCTTTGTTTTCTGCAATTATTTATTTATTTTACAGATAGTGTCCACCTTAAATTTGTTGTCACACCATTCGAAAATTTTGTGTAACATATGGTATTCACTCTCAAAAATATTTTGGATCTGCCGTTGTAAAGATGCATTCTACAAACATGTAGTGGCGGAGCTACAGCTTGGTGAGGGTGGGCACGTTTCCACCCTAAAATCTTTGTTTTCTGCAATTATTTATTTATTTTACAGATAGTGTCCACCTTAAAATTTTGTTTGTCCACACCATTCGAAAATTTTGTGTCGTTAACATATGTGTATTCACTCTCAAAAATATTTTTGGATCTGCCGTTGTAAAGATGCATTCTTCAACATTGATTGCTAACAAAATTCAAACCTTTCCTAAGTTTAGCTATATGAGGTAACTTAATTTTCACATCAATAAAGTTACCACAAGTATCAATTCTTCTCACAACTGTATCACCACGAATAATATCATGTATAACACAATTTCAATCATCAATGATAATCTTATATTTCTCGTTATTAACTCATGTGACCAATTAAATTTTCTTTTTATTCACAAATTCATCATGCTTACCAAATATAATTATGATATGATTCCCAAAACAATTTAACATCATTAAATCACTTTTTTATAAAATCGATAAGATCAGTTTAAAATATTCAATTTTTTTATTAAGTTAAGGTGATAATAAAGTAATATCTGTTATAAATACTCTTAACTATTTTGAAAATAAACATTCAATCACTCATGTAGTTGCTGGTGTTTGAACCCATGACTCCTAGAAATAATAATGATCTTTAACCTCTGAGATAAGTTGGTTCGTGTAAGATGTTCAAATATTTATATGAATTAAATAAAAAAGAGGAGCTTATTCTTGAACCCCCAACATTAGTATGGCCTACAACACAGCAAACCACCCAACATAAAGGGGATTCCCTTGTCTTATAGCGCCTAAAATTCCGACTAGAAAAATTTGATAATACTTTTTAGAAAGTCAATTAGAAAGTTGTGAAATAACAAAATTGAGTGGAGCAGCCTACACTAAACAATATTGTGGCAGCCTGAAGATGAATTCCTATTATATACATATATAGTTTTACCTCCAACAATCATTCAGATTTCCCCCCAAAATTAAAAGTTTTCTTATTGAAAATGATCTCATCTGCTACTATAATTTAGTATGTAAAATTTTCTTCATTTTGCTCTTTCCTTAGCAATCTGATCTTTTAAAGAAATCTTTCTATAGTTTTCCAATTCCATTTGCTTATTGTGTCTCTTTAGTGATCCAAAAACTTTGCCTTCCAAAATGGTTTTGATTTGATGGTACGTAGGGTCATAAATTATATTGGAAATGAAAGTTTAGTTCAACCATCAAAATCAACATCTTGCCTGCATCCAAATTACAAAAGTTAAAGCAAAATCATGTTTCTAATATATATATATATATATTTAGGAGTTTGATTTTTTTATTAAATAGAGAGAAATTACATACTTCATGTAAAAGTCAAGATTCGAATCTATATAAGATGAGACAACATAAGCATCATTAACCATTAAATTAATTAATGAATCTCCGTAATTTAATTATTTATGCACAAGACTTCTCATATAATATGATTGGAAACTCCTTTCTTTTTGTTTGTTTCAAGCACTGCTTGCAATTTTTTTATATATTGAATTGATCTAGTTACTCCATGCATGCAGTTTAATTTGTATATATGTGTATATATATGATCAAGTTCACTTAATTTCCCATGATTAAAGCAGAGATTAGTTCCCCTTTAATCGACTTGCTAATCAAGATTTATCATGGGAAAAAAGGATATACCCTTCAATCATGTAGAATATTTGAATCTAATGTGACATTGTAACCACTTTATTTGATGCAATCACATGAAGCTATAGGAAGTGATTATAATCCAGAAACCTTTTTCTATTTTTAGCTTAGCCAATGTACTTGTATACATATATATTTGGTTGTATGTTATCATCGTTGAATTTTTTTTAGAGGGTAAACCTGGGGTATTATCAATACTCAAGATTCGAGCCTAGCATACCCTATTTTCCTTTTATTTTTATATATTAACTAATTTAAGGGTTTTCTTTTTCTTCACTTTTTCTTAGATTTTTTTAATAACAAATCTAATCGATTGTCGATAGTTACTCGGGGGGCAGACTCTCGACCTCGCCCCATCTCATCCTCTTCCGTACTCCACTTTCCCTTCTGATCTTCTTGTTTTCTTATTTTCATCTCTATTTTACAAATTTATTTTATGGTATGAAATTTGTGCTTTTCATTTTTAATAAGTCGATCGTTTTGCATTTTCTCATAAAAATGGTAAAAAAATATCTTGTCTAGTACAAATTTTAATTTTACTTTTGTAAGTTTTTTTCAAGGTTAGATTTTTCATCGATCCTCTAATTAACAAGTTCTTGTTTCTTTTATTGATATTTTAGTTGGTAATGTTCAATCCCACGTAGAGTTGAAAATACTATTGAAAATGAGTACTTAATATTTGCATTCTTCACTGTCACTACCATCAGGGCCGGCTCTGGGTATTTTTTTTGCCCGGGACGAAATAAAAGAAATGAACCCCTATTTATGTTATTTATTTTTTGGCCCGGGCGAAATAAAAGAAATGAACCTTTAGTTATGTAAAATCTTGTAGTTGTAAATTAATAGGTACTATGGAAATATTATGGGCCCTGGACGGGTGCCCCTCCTGCCCCGGCCCAGGGCCGACCCTGACTACCATTCATCTTGGCTCATGGTCATATGTGTCTTTTATATGTCTACCCGGATACTACTTTTTCAGAAAAATTTCGTGTGAAATTTCAGAATCTTTGATGCAATTAGGTTGGTGTTACAAGGTCATCAGGACGTTTCAGCAGTGCAAGGCAGTGATTTTTGAATTATTGTTTATTTGCGGTCCATATTTCCAACATTTACAGTCGCATCATATGTTGTGTCAAAAACAATTATTAATGCGTTGTATTATTATTATTAAAAAAGTTGATAACTTTTTGCTAATCCTACTTATCATTACCTTTAAATGTAGTGTTTGTTATACTTTTATTTTTCTCAAATTGTTTGATTGTGCTCATTTTTTTTCTAGCATAATCCTATTTCATAAATAAAAATAATTTATACAATATAAAAATTAAATTTATAATGCGGATAATAGCATGTAATCGACGGTAAAATAATAAGGAATTTTGGGTTATAATTTTGTCCTTTTTCCCAACCCGAATTCCCACAAAATCCACCAATCGTAATCTATTACTCATAAGATTTGTTCTAAATTTTTAGTAGTAAAACCCTTTGGAAAGGTCACGTAGCTTCTTTCACGTATCAGATATACTATTATACATGTGAACTTTGTCTTCATTTCATGAATTTGATTGATGGGTGGTCCCTCGTTAATATAATATTTGTTGATGTTTTAGCTAAGAATGCTTAATTTTTTAGTTAAACCCATCGTTAGTCAAGATTATAAGCATTGTTAATGTATTTCAATTCACATACTAATTAAGTAAACCATGAAGAGAACGAGGCTGAAATTGTGGTTGATCGTTATAGTTATATATAAAAAATTTTGGTGACTTGCAAATCCCAACTTTGAAACTTAACACTGTAAATCTGGTTTATGTTGTCAAGAAAATAGTAAAAAATTTAAAATTAAACGTTGGTAACGGTGAATTCACTTATTGTACCCGTCTTAAATTTGAATTCTTTTCCTGTTAATTACTTATCTTACCTATTGTATCTATTCTAAAATCATATTTATGTCCATATGTGGTACAAAAATTTTATATTATTAATATATATGTGTTCATCCTAAAAATTATTTTTAAATCCAATGTTGTTGAGTAGTTATACTCGGGGGAGACAAAACAATGTTGTATGGCTTTGAGACTTTGAGTAGAACAAACGGTAAAAGTGAAAGGAAAAAAAAACTGTAAAACAAAATCACCATGGCTAGGGTTTAAGGTATAGTGTGTGTGTTCTATGTATGTTTGAGAAGTGAGATGCAAGAACCGAAATTTGCATGTCAGTTGAAGATTGCATGCGTATTTTAAGAAAAGACTACAACCTGGTTCAGTGAAGGACAAATAACGTAAACTGGTTTGGATTATTTACTTTTTTTTTATTATTATTGTGGTTCTGGTGTAGTTAGGGCTAGTTCTAAAAGTTGGAAGCTAGGGAGAGCCCTCGCCCCATGTTCTTCAGCTGTGACCCTTGAAACTTCTGCCATGGTCAAACATTACCACGAAATTTTCCCGAGAAAAATGTCGTCTCCAATAAGGTTTTCTTTTATATATATATATGTTTTTTAAAGAATCCAATGAGCAGAAATCAGCCATTCATCTGATCTAACGTTATTAGGGATAAATCAGGGAGTATATGTACGTTAAAATCAATTAAGCCATTTCAATTGAGTGGTTCGTTTAAATCGGTTTTAATTTATTTATTTTCTATTAAAATAATTTAATTTTTTTTTAATTTAAGATGATTATAAATAGTATTTGTTTTAAAGATTTTCAATCATTTAACAATAAAAATTTAAACACATTTGTTGTCCACTTTTCATTCTTAAAATTTATAATCGAATAAATCAATTATCAAAATAAATAAAGCTCGATTCATGTAGTTTACCTTGAAAAAAGTGGTCTGTGTGTGTCGGCCTAGTGCCTAAGCAAATGAAGATTATATTTATAAAAACGCCATATTCAACGGCCGCATCCATTGCATTAAATAAGGAAACCCCAAAGCAGTTAAACGAGTGATGGTGAAAAATTTTGTGGTTTTGAAAGCCTTTTAGCAATCGTTACACATTAGCAAACCCCCACCCAAGGGTCGTAGTGTCCGGTCTGTACGATTAAGTATTACTTTTTTGGCTGCAATTGTGGTCCAACAAATAAAATAAAACCTTGGAATTTTAGCTAAAAGCATGATCTTCTTAAAAGATTATAATCCCATCATTTAATGGCCTCATGCTTATGGATAGGTGAATTTGATGAGTTCGGAATTAATTCAATCGGCTTAATTTTTTATTTTATAAATTTATATTCATGTAGAGTCTTTTCTAGGGGGATTGAGTTAGTTTTATGTTTAAGATATAAACTTTTTTTACATGACTTATATAATATTATAATTTTTTATATATTTAGAGACAATTATAATAATACTCATTTCGATAATATTTTTAAATTAATTCCTTATTTCATCTTATAGAAATAAATATATAATATAGGTAAGGTCAAGTCGAATATGGATTTTGACCTAAAAATTGGATCAATTTTAAGTCGAGTAGATTCACCTAATCTCAAATCGGGTTGAGTACAAATATAATTCGAATCATATTATGATGGATTAAAAATCTGACGTGATTCATGATCACCCCTGTTTTCTCAATTGATTGCAATAATATTGTCAATTTAAATTTTAAAAAATTCTAAATCATTGAAGGACTATTATTTGTTCGGTTAATCTTAACTTCAAACTATTTTAATTTATTTGTTACAATTTTAAGATAAAATGATTTCGTATTTGGATAATTTTAAGATTTTTTATTCAAAATTTAGATCTGAATTAATATTTGTAAATCTACTGCATGCACCAATATTTCTTCGAAAAATTTATTAATAATGTTATGAAAATAAAAAGTGATGTTTTATTTTTATTAGTTTGAAGTGAATATAAAATAATATTTATTCAAATAAATTAAACTATTTGGCAAAAACACGTCTCAAGATATGTGTTGTTCGAACTCAAAATTTTAAGAAATAAAAATCACTTAATCATTGAGATCGTTTAGATCAGGCAATTGTTTTTAATTTTTTTAAAGATTAAATTAAAAAAGAAAAATATTTTTATAATTATAAACTAAAAAATAAAAAATAAATTCTATTATTATATCAATTATGAGAGGACTGATCATTCTCTCATCATATTATTTACGCATCGAAATTTAATACCGATGAGCCGTCCGATTTTGTAATAAGGTGAGCCAATTGACTTGACTGACGCCATCGCTGATCCCAAACTGATCATCATCTGCAACTAGAGTTTTCTGTTTATGGGTCCCATCACATGCCGATCCTTGATTGATGTTGATTGATCAATTTGCATGGCGGTTTCAACATCTCTGAGTTTCAAAGCAAAGCATCATATTCAAATGGTTAATTATATCAGTAAAAATATTTTTTCAAATGTAAAACATAAAAAAAAAATGTCACGGACTCCAATATTTAGATGCATCCCGTAAGATCGTGTCCAGGAAAGCTGAAACTTTCAAAGCATTGACCAATGGGAAATTGGGAACAACATTTTTGCTTTTTTTTTTACTGCAGAGTTTACAGCATCAAACAAAGTTCACTGTAATGGAAATTTCTAGTTACAAACTTACCCGTTGTTTTTAACCTTCGTCTCGGGCACAACATTCCAATGACCTCTCTGGTTGATATCGTTTTTTAACAGTCGTTAACGGCTCAACCGTTAACCAGAAACACGAAAAAGAAATAAATGAAGTGTAATGCTAAGAGACAAAACCTTGGAAACCGGTGAACGTGCGCCTAGTAAGAACAAAGATGCAGAGAAAATTAAATGGCAATGGGAAACCCCATAATCCTTGTTATTACTTCTCTCACAGGGTACATTGGTAGTTGATGTACAACCCACACCTCAGTGAGGAAAATTTTCAGATTTACAAATCTGAACAACCCAGATTGATTAAAATAAAACAAATATTTCATGGGTTTTTTGGGTCAGAGTTACATAAACAACTCAAGCAAGAAAAAGGCAGGAGAAAAATGTAAACAGAGAAGCAATGGTGCAGCTTCATCTTCTGCAAAAATTGTTTCTTTTTTAAAAAATAATCCTCATCTGAGCATGGAGGTTAGAGACTGGAAAACAGCTTCATCACAGGGAATGGTGAGGCCCATGTCGTGATCGAACCCAAATTCCTCTTCAGCTTGATGAAGCAAGGTTTGGAACTCGGGTCGGGTCAAGAAAGAGATGGGAACAATGTATCTGGTCCTGTTAGGGCCAACATATACAACGAAATGACCTTTGGGGACATCCAAAGGGAGTCCTTGTTCGTCGTAGCTTTGCTTCTTTCCCAAGCTGGAGCATCTCTTGAGGATTTGCTTGATGACTGCTGTTTGAGGCAGCTTGTTGGATTTCTTGTTGATAGCCATCTCCTCCCCTGCCTTTGGTTTCAAAGTGTGAAACTTGGGGAGGGTAAAAGGGAGAAAGAGAGTTTGTGTGAAAGAGTGGAGGGGGGATTGAAGGGGTATATAAGGTGAGATACTAGAATTTTGAAAGAGAGAAAGTAAGGCATGTGGGGGTACTTATGGGGATAAAGTACTTAAACCTAGTAGATTCAGACACATTTATATCAAAAATACGAATTTTTTATATGAGGTAGCTTTAAATAAAATTTTAAGATAAGTATTATCAGTAAAATAAATAATTAATAAAAAAATTCTAATTTTAAGATAAACACATGTCCATCTTATAATACACCTATATCCGTCACCTAGGGTGTCATGTGTGTTTGGGGGTCTGGCGTGAGTGAGCTCAAAGTACATGCCTGATGGCAACCCTATTGGGATTACACCACTTTGTTGCCCTCCCAAAGAAAACCACGGTCCCTCTTTCACCTCAGCTCTGGCTTATCAGTTGGGTCGTGTTTAGGACGCCCATATGCTCTTGTTGAAGTCTTGGTTCAATTTGAAATTTGAACCTTAGTTTCTTTTAAGTTACATCATATTTCTAAACTAGTGAATCCATTTAAAATATGCTCTCCTCTTTTTACATGCTATTTTCTATTTAATATTTAGTCAAATTTAATTATATTTTAATATAATACAAACACTATTTAGGCCCCTCCTAATTTTGACATTTTTTTATTTATATTTATAGTAATATATATTTAATTTTTATATAGTATTTTTATTATTTAGACCCCTCCTGATTTGTATATTATAGTTTAGGTTAATGGTTTTGTTACTGTTCCATCATATTTGGGTCAGATTGATCCCAAAAAAGGTTTGAGGTTCAAAAGAGATGCAACGAAAGTTTAAACGGACTAAAATAATTAAGCTGATAAAGTTGAGGGCCATAAATGCCATTATACCCTTTTTTAAGCCTTCACATTACTTGTATTTGTCAAATAATGTTGGCTTATATATAAAAGAGATCCCTCTAATTTTATCCGAAAATTAAGCGAGTCATAATATGAATCATAGATTTAGTGAGACCTTATTCGGAAAATCATGGATCAAAAAAGTCTTAAGAGTTAATTACATCACATGTCCTCAAAGTATATCCTCATTTTAAATTGGTCACTAAACTTTTAAATGTTTTAATTTCATCCCTAAGATATGATTGTCATTCTAAATTAGTTCTCAAACTTTTGAACATTTCAATTTCATCCCTAAACTATGATCTTCATTCTAAACTAGTCCCCAAACGTGTTGAACATTCCAATTTCATCACAACTATACGTATATACTAATCACATCTATTGTTAATAAAATCGTTAGGCCAAGTTATATTATTATATGTTTGAACAAAAATTAGGTTAAACTACGGTTGAAACTAATTACATATTTAGATGAATTTAGGGATGAAAATTGATTATTCAAAAGTTTGGGAACAATTTAGAAAGAGTGTTATAGTTTAGAGATGAAATTAGAATGTTAAAAATTTAAGGATTAATTCAGAACGAGAGTCATAGCTTGGGTATGAAATTAGAATATTCAAAAGTGTAAGGATTAATTTAAAATAAGGGTTATAGTTTAGGGATATATGACACAATTAACTCAATTTTAAGGTAATTTTAATGGCTTATTTGATCACATTTTTTACATAAGAATTCATTTGATCATTCAAAATTATTTTTTTAAGATGAGTTTGGGTACAAATATATTAACAACATAATTTTTGGATGAATGAGAAGAAATAAAATTTTATGGTGGACATCACTAATGAAATAAATAATTGACCCAAAAATATTCAGATTTCTGAGTAGATACGAATCCATCTTGGAGTATATGCACCATAAAGTATATGTAGATCTGTCTCTGCATTTAATCAATGATTCAAATCAAGAACTTACTTTATTTTTTTAGTATAATTAGAGAGACTTATTTTATTTATAAGCCATTTATTATTTTTATATAATACTATTAGCTTAGCATTCAACCAAACTGATTCATCCATATGCCACTATAGTTTATTACTTATAGGCCGGCCTCTTCAAGTTCATACGTTTCCGGTTATTACTAGAGAATTATTGCATTTTCGAGTTCATCCCTATGCTACTATAGTTTATTAATTGCTTTTCGTTAACTGATAATTAATTTCCTGCTGGGGATGCTGGATTTGTTTCGGTTCAATTTTTTGATTTTAAAAGGTAAGATTTATTCAGATATTTTAAAATAAATTTAATTTAATTTTAAATTATTTATGATATTTATAATTTTCATTTAATTTTACGCATGAAATACATTATATAGTCTACGAAAATATTTGAAAAATAAAGAAAAAATTATATGTAAAATATAATTTATCAAAATTTATATAAATTATTTTATTTTCATTATACTATAAATGTATCACTATATAGATTTAGATTTTTAGTGTTCTTATTCTTAAAAGAATATAATAATAAATTTATTATTACAATTTATTTTTAAAAGAATTTGAAGTGTTCTAGATTAGGTTTGTGAAGTTCGAGGTATTATTTTTGGTGAAGCAGACACTCGATTCACGTTCATGAGATAAAAAAGGAGTGGATTGAAAATTTTAGAGCCAAATGGTTGTCGACGACAACCGATGGTGATTAGCGACGGTGATGAGTGATAAAGGATGACATAGATTTTGACTATATTTAATGGTTGAATTAATATTTTGTTTAAAATTTAGTGTCAAATTAGTGTTTCGTCTAAATCTAAGGATCAAATTTAAGTTAAACCATTTTCACTAATATGTCACGTGTCAGTGAACTAAAGGAAGTCAACAATCCAATGACTATATTAAAATAGGTCGAAAACAAAAATGACCAGAATATAACTTTTTTTAAATCAATAACTAAAATTAAACTAAAAACAAAAGGACTACAAGTGTTATTTACCCAAACAAAAAAAGAGCTTCAGATTTGAATGAGATAAAACGTAATGAAAGCGATAAATAAACTAAGCAGGTACATTAGGCGAAAGTCCCGAGGTTATATGGTAATCTGGTACATAGATCAGAGGTTAAATATATATGCAGTATGTACTGATTGTGTACTACCACAAGCTGCTGCGAGTTTCACGCCTTCTATGTTTTTGAGCTTTTGATTCTTAGAATCGATTGGCAAATATACAATAACAGTGATTCACATGCATGATGCATGTACGTACGTGCTAGCTTTTCTTCTTCTTCTTCTTCCTTTTTGCAGGGTTTTCAAGCCCTTCTCGGCTCAAATCATTTCATCCTCTAATACTACTCGATATTTCTATATGTATATTATTAATTAATTATGAATTAATTGATAATTTTGAAACAATTAATCCTCTTCCAGCAGCCACATGCATGGCAGGCTATAGTTATCATCTGGTCTATAAAGCGAAGTTACTGTTTGACTGCATTGTACCGGGCTAGAAAGTGACTCTTCGGCGTACCTTTTCTTGATCACTATCATAGCTAGCTGAGGTAAATTAAATCTGTAAACTTAATTAATAACAAAGACAGGAGTTAAATAGATGATTAAGTTCTAAGTTGTTTTCTCGAAGATGATCTCTTAAAACATATGAAGATGTTTATATTGAAGCTGTTAGTTTAGTAGTAAATTTATGCTTGAATCAAAATAGATAAATGTTTAATATGAAATCGGAGTATCTTTCTATTATTAATTTATTTTACTAAATGTATCCATTATGTGATTTTATTTGTGTGTGTTCTTCCTAAAATAATATTTTTAAACTCGCCACTAATTCAGCTGATTAAGTATGGTGGTCCTTGAACTAGCCTTGCACGAATGACAACCACATGTTACCCGTCCTTATGATCCAAGCAGCAGCTTCTCTCTCTTCACTTGTCCCCCATGTTCTATGGTTCAGACCTAACAGCCAAAATCAACTAAAGAGGTCCGTTTTTTTTTTTTTACAATGGTAAATGTTGGTGTGCAGTTTAGTAGTACAACAAGCCTGGACGTGGTCTGGTACAGTAAGTGATAAATTTAATCATCAAAAGATGCAATGTGCCAACAAGTACGTACTAAAATGGTTTGAAGGGCTTGAACCCATGGTCACCAAAGGAAGCGAATTCATGAAACTGTGTTATTGAAATTGATTGATTAAAACTGAAATGGACTTCACTTGGGAGGATGAGAAATTGAAAAACACATGCAAATACGGATGTGGGTCCAATGGAATCACCGAAATTGCAGCAGTGACTAGCTACTTTCACAGGGTTTGAACAAAATGACTTGGTTTTTAAATGGTACGCACATGAAGGTTTTGTTATATATACTTTGTAGAACGGCTACCTGTTAATATTGGAAGGAAACAATTCTTGATTGCATATAACATCACAACTCGACAGACTAGATTGCGACAGAAGTAATCCTAATTAACTTGCCTAACAACACAAAGGACAATCAACCAGCGAACTAGCCATATTTACGTGAAAAAAATATGGGGAAAGATCTTAGTGATCATCAACTTGCATGGAATGGGATAGGTTTTTAAAGAAAAATATTCATATAGACACAAACAACAACAAACCTTTTTGAAACTTTGAAACCACCAAACCTAGACAATGACTTCTGTGGATAGGAACAACAAAGTTTTGCCGGTACTAAACGGTTTATCTATTATGATTTGGACATAAAATCACGACCAGTGAGAGAACGATTGTTGGACAGTATTTGAATAAGGGAGAAAGAAAATTATCATGAGGAAGAAGGAGGGTTGGCTGGTTTCGAGTAGTCCATTGCCCTTCCCAGTTTTAATTGAGGGTATTTATAGTGGTTCTTAGTGTATGTGTCAGCTATAAGAATATCATGACTATTTGTAGGTTGACAGATTAGATAGATTTGATAGTCATATTTTAAATTTTGTTATGTAGGCCTATCAAAGGACTTGTTGATCAGATGTCTTGTCTACACGCAATAAATGATCGAAGGTATGAGTTTTTTGAGATGTGGGCTAGTAGAAGATTC